TTATAAGGACTCAGATTAAATCTGGAGGAAAATAACTCTGGTTATAACCTCCATAAAAATACAATAAAAAGGAACACATGCTTGCTTTCTATTTACTTTACTTCCCATATATTTTTAAAAAGGACATTTTCAGCATTTTGCTCCACAATATAATCAAATTAATTTAGTTTGAAGAAGTGAAATGAAGATAAGGCATAGAAGTTGTTTCCAGTGCTGAGATTTATCATTATTCACAGTGAAAATAACTACCATTTTATCCCTCAGTTTCATGCTGAATAAAAATTATTTGCCAAAAAATTGGGGTGAGAATGGGACACACTTTTTCTTTCCAGAAAATGCTCTCTGTATTGTCAGTTTTGTCCATGTCCCAGTTACCTATGGACTTATTATTTCACAGGTTCACAAAATGCAAGATCAGACTTCTGTAACTGAGAGTTTATTAAAACAGTACTCCCACTTGTGCACATTTGTATGTGTGTTCATGTACCTATACTGTAGACCACAGCCAAAAAAAATGAATATGGCAGCAAACATTAAAAATAAGAAACATGATTCCAGAATATTTTAACTAAAATGTATGTTGGTTGGATACTGATCATTCCTAATTTCAGGCAAGGCTTCTGTTGTTTTGCCATGAGTGACAGAGAAAATACATTTTGTTTTTGTCCCTGCATGAGAAAAATGAAAAACAAAACCCAAAAATCCATGATCAAAGAACAGTTGTCAAATGGCTGACAAACACACACAGATTTGTAGGACAAATGAAGCCATGGCTACAAGCAGGAGCTCATCATACCCCAAAAAAACCCAAACAAACAAAAAAAAAAAACCAAAACAAAAAATGTGTCAAAAACTCCAGTGATTTAAGTGGGACTAGAACGTATGCCAGAGTCTCAATGCTTTTATAGCCAAAAAGGTTAAACCACATTGTAATTTTTTTTAACACTGTCATAGACTGAGAGCTATTATTGCTTAATGCCACACTTGGCACCGAAATGGTACAAAGGAAACCTCTGTTCTAATTTCATAAGTATTTCAATAAACTTATCTTAAGCTTTTTAGATTGCTAAAATATGCTCAGCATCTTCTATACATGGATAGATATAGACATGCTATCTCATCACCCAGCAAAAACAAACTGGACAAGCTGCATCAGGTTCCAGATTATCAGACAGTCCCAGTCTTAGATTAAATCAAGCAATATGGAACGTCTACTGATTTCTTCCACCTCAGGACAGATGGCAGCTGCAATCCAGCATACAGGGGACAAGCAGTGCAACTGCCACTACAAAATTAATTTCTCTCTCTATTCTGAAGACATTTGAAGAAGCCAAATGTGTTTATACCAGGCTGTATTTTGGCATGGCCACAGCATTTTTGATGCGGCACTCGAAGCTCTAACACTGCATTTTTCATACTGCCAAACCATACCAAGTTACTACAAAAATCTCCCAAACTTCTGCTGTTAGGATGCCCAAAGCACACATTTCTGCTTCTATCCTATTTTAGCAGGGAGGCTTAAAGAGAAACCTTCTCAGAGTAGGCTCATGTGCAATAATGAAGTCCAATTCCTGTATGGAATCTTTTTTCTTATGGACTTAATTCACTTTTTTTTCCCCACAGGGGAGAAATATTATGCCCATTATACACATATAAGGACTGAGGCAGTTCTTCCAAGTCACCACCACTAGCAAAGCAAGAGCACAATCCTGTCTAACATTGGTACTACATCAAATGACAATTTCTGCCATTCCCTAAAAGCACGTAAACTCTGGAAACCATTTTATTACTGCAATCACCTCTAGAAATTTGCAGTATCACTTTATTACCCAGAAAGCTCATTTGGGGAGGGGAAAAAAAAAAAAAAAAAAAAGCAGTTATATACATCTTTTTTCCTAGCCCTATTTTTTGTGATTTCTCAGAGATCAGAGCGCCAATCAAGTGTTATTCTCCTTCTTCCTGCCGAGACCACAACACAAGGTGGTTATCTATTACCTGCTGAAAAGTCTAAAAAGGGGCACTAAAATTTACAGTTTTACATAGTAAAGTTCTGTAGATAAAGGACTTCTGATGATGCTATAATTTTCTGAATTCTGCTCGAGGATTTTCAGTTAATATTCTTCAATGCTATCCTGTAAGACCATACAGCTACATTGTTAAATCAATGTATACAATTATTATTTGGATTTTCTATCTTGACTTGCAATAAGAACTGCATTTCCAAAGCTATTTATCAGCACCATGGTCATGCCATAAAAGCTATTTCTTCCATCCTAATTGTGCTTTTGTTCCTTTCTGTGTTGAGCAAAACACTGCAAAGGGTCTAATGTCTAGATGCTTTCTTTCCAGCAAATTGAATGTTACAACCTCATTTCCTGGTCAGCTCCTTGGAAACTACACAGGGGTGGAAACTGGGGGACACAAGTGCTCCCCAGATCCCTGCTGCCCAGCATTACAGCAGCAAGGGAGAGCTGCAGACAACTTCCCAATACATCCTTCCAGAAGCTTTTCCAATTAAAGGCAGCAGTAGAGCCCAACCAGTAAAAGCAGTAAGTTCTTCCAAAATATTCCCACTCTGCTCTTGACACTGCCTTTTACAGGAAGCACTGATCCTCTTTCACCAAGTCTTGCCCAATTACAGGGAAATCTCTGAGAAGCACTGAAAGCCAGCAAACTCTCAAATGCTCTTCAGAGCTAAGAAAATCCAAGCCTTCCTACAACACTTCTGACATCTTCCCACTCTACCCTAAATCACATTTACATGGCTCATTCTTCTATTTAACACTTCCCACAACTTGAGTCCTTCCTGTCCTCACTTCCTTTCCCCTCCCTTTCCTGCAAATCTCATTACTTTCATGCTTAGCTCACACAGAGTTTTCACAGCACCCATGTGATATGTTTTTTTTCCCCAACTGATCACTTCTTGAAGTCAGCTCTCATCCTTCCTGGAGACAGACACACTCCCCTCCTGACTGCACAGCAGCAGCACACTGCACCTCCACTTGGATTTGTAATAAGCACAGATCGTTTTGCTTGTTTGCAATCCAGCTGCTGCCTCCCACAGCTGTGACCGTGTTCACAGGGGACTTAGGATAGGGAAGAGATGAGGATCTGACTCCATGTTTCAGAAGACTTGATTTATTATTTTATGATATATATTACATTGAAACTATACTAAAAGAATAGAAGAAAGGATTTCCTCAGAAGGCTGGCTAAGAATAGAAGAGCAAAGAATGATAACAAAGGTTTGTGGCTCTGCTCTGTCTGAGCCAGCTGGGCTGTGATTGACCATTAATTAGAAACAACCACACAAGAAAAATCACAGATGCACCTGTTGCATTCCACAGCAGCAGATAATCAATGTTTGCATTTTGTTCCTGAGGCCTCTCAGCTTCTAAGAAGGAAAAAATCCTAAGGAAAGGATTTTTCCACAAAATGTGTTTGTGACACACCTCCACTTTGATTTGTAATAAGCACAGCTCCTCTGTTTGCTTGTTTGCAATGCAGCTGCTGCCTCCCACAGCTGCAGGATTTGCCAGACCATCCCTTCCTAAACAGCAGCTGCTACAGCTTCCCATGAGCTCCTGGGGAAATGATGCTCTCCCTCCTCCCCATGCCCTGCACTGCTGGGAGGAGCAGCCACGATCCAGCTCTGTGAGGAGGGGTAACATTTGCTGTCTCTGAGTTGATCAGCCTCTCCCCAGCGCTCAGAAGAGCTTTAGAAAGACTCTCACTAGAGGGAGGATGCGTTTGTGGTGGCCGTTGCTCCCAATGAACTTGGTTGCAGCTACGTTCCCCTGTCCCCCCACTTGTAGAACCATCATTTCTCTCTAAGCTTGACATCAAGGCTTATTCCATATTAAAGGTGACTCTGACAAAGGGGAAAGCAAATGATATGTTGTCTTATATATCCAAGAGTTCTATTATCATTATAGTGCAAGGATTCCACATCAGCAGAGCTTCATACCTTGTTGATGTTTCTTGTAGGCCTCTCCTCCAAGCACTAACTGTTCCTAGTCCTTACAGCAGCCATCTGAACCCAGTTCCCACCAACCCACTCGTTTATACCACTGTTCTTATTGGCCACAAGTATGGCCTGTTAACATCAGGCCTGCTCCTAATCTTTAGTAATTGGTTCAGCTGCAACTCATTGGGGGATAAGGTTACATTCTGTACCACCTTCATTTACCCACACTGTATCCCCCTACAATAATACATCTGACTCCAGGGATATCAGAAGGCTAAAGAATTACTTTATGATGCTATATTATTCTATACATCTAAAACTGAATCTGCCAAGCACTCAATCCTGCACACCACTGCTCACACTGCACTGAAACTTGTGACTCTCACCCAATAGTCCCAACACACACACACACTTGGCCCTGATAGGCCAAGGAAACAAAAACCCATCACTTTGGGTAAACAATCTCCATGTTACATTCTACTTTTGCACAAACACACGCACAGCAAATGATAAGATTTTTTTTTCCTTTCTCTGAGGTTCAGAGAATGTGAATCCCAGAAATATTCTTGGGAAGAATTGGGCCTTGCTTTTTTTTTGTGGGGCTACAAAGGTTCATGTAATTACATGTAAGCATATGCATAGGATTGTATATGCTTGTAATACTTCAAAAAGATTTGCGTAGCAAAGCCTGCAAAATGAGAAAACACCAGTATTAAAGGAAGCAGGTGTGATTCAGCAGCTTGTTGTGGGCATGTGAGGAGACAGTCACATGTGGCTGCAGACTTCTTCAGAGCATTTTGTGCCAACCTTCCACTTCCTCTAAAATCATAATCACCTCCGGAGCTCTTCTCAGTGTGTCCAAGTTCTTCCCAAGTATTCAAACACTCACAACAAAATATATTTGGCAACTCTGTTACAGCCTGTCTTAAAACCAATGAACTGGGACACGTGTTACACATGGTAACACACATGTTAAGCACAGGGCATTCAACATCCTCAGCTGCAGGATCTTCCCTTTCCCTTTCCNGCGGCGGCGGCACCGCACACACAGACACAGGGGCTAGGCGAGAAAGCAGCAAGAGAGAGGAAAAAAAATAATAATCCCCACCGCGATCGGCACCGCCGTAAAAGCAGAGCGATGATGATCGTACTCGTAGCAATAACAGAAGAAAAGACCTTTGACAGAGAAGAGAGAAATCTAAAATCTTTAAATTAAAAAAAAAAAAAAGAAAAAAAAAGGAAATACCAGGGACATCGGGGAATGAAAGTTTTGGGTAGCTAAGCTGCTCTCTGCCTTTTTTTTTTCTTTTTTTATATGTATATGAAATCTTTTTGCGGGTAGTTTTTTTTTTTTTTTTTTTAATTTCGCGGTTTTCTGCCTTTTCCTTGCATCCAAAGAGGGCATGCCCACCGGCTGTTCCAGCAGCATCTACCCTCCAACTCCCACCAGGAAGACAAACCGAGGACAATCTTGAAATACAAAAATTTCCTCCTTGGAATTTGCTGCTGCTACTGCTGCTGTCTCCGCCGCCACTGCTGCTGCCGCGGTGCAGTGCCAAGACTCTCGGAATAAATAAAAGAGGGCTACAGTGTGTGTCTCTAGCTACAGCCGGCTAATAGCTATTTTAGTTGGCCGGCACATCTCGAAGATCACAGATGAAGCGGGGACGCCTGTCTTCTTCGTTGGCTCAGCGTGTGAAACAATAATCCCCGTAACAAAAAGGAGGGAGATGGGGGAGAAAAAAAATCCTAACATGAATCAGAAGAAATAGTATCTAGCACCCCCCAGCCCCCCCAAACCAACCTCTCCCCCTCCCCTTCCCCCGATCCCCCTCTCTCTCGCTCTCTCTGCACACGCTTGCAGGCGCGGGCACGCGCGCGCACGCACAGACACACAGACGCGCGCACCCAGACACACAGACACGCACACACACTGTACTGTGTATTTTCGGAGGAGGAGGTGGCTTTTGGAAGAGGAGGCAGCGGTGGTGTCGGGGAGGGGGGAATCTCTTTCCCCGTCTGGAGATGGTTGTGCTATTCCTCTTTGCCTCGCTCTGGATGCTGGAGGGGGCTTTTTGCCAGCTCCATTACACGGTGCAGGAAGAGCAGGAGCATGGCACGTTCGTGGGGAATATCGCCGAGGACCTGGGCTTGGACATTACAAAACTTTCGGCTCGGCGCTTCCAGACGGCGCCCAACTCCCGCAGCCCTTACCTGGAGCTTAACCTAGAGACCGGCGTGCTCTACGTGAACGAGAAAATTGACCGCGAGCAGATCTGCAAGCAGAGCCCCTCCTGCCTGCTGCACCTGGAGGTCTTCCTGGAGAACCCCCTGGAGCTGTTCCGCGTGGAGATCGAGGTGCTGGACATCAACGACAACCCGCCCTCCTTCCCGGAGCCCGACCTGACCGTGGAGATCTCGGAGAGCGCCACGCCGGGCACCCGCTTCCCGCTGGAGAGCGCCTTCGACCCCGACGTGGGCACCAACTCGCTGCGCACCTACGAGATCACCCCCAACAGCTACTTCTCCCTCGACGTGCAGACCCAGGGCGACGGGAACCGCTTCG